ATTTATCAGAAAATGTGTATATGTGTGTCATTAATAGTAAAATTAAATGCAGTCGACTATTCTGATGAGGAGATGTGGTTATCTCCGAAAAAGCCGTCACTCTTGTAATATATCAATCACATTTTATTTCGTTTTGTCTTTCGGTTAACCATTGACTCAATCGATGCTATATTAAGATATTATATATGCGGAGAGAGTATAGAAATATACATTTATGTATCGGTAAAAAATGGACTCGGTTAGAACGTATTTTTTGAACGCTTCAAAATTATTAACAGATAATTTCAATCTTTTGATATGAAAATGTGCATTTATGAATGGATTGGGTTTTTTTCTAAAAATCAGAAGCTCAACTTAGTATGTATACTACCAACTTCAAATATATACCATTTTTAATGTCAAATTCTTAGATTTATGCTATAAAGTCGTGCCCTTATTATTCCCACATAATCGTTCTTATTTAGAAAAATTGCGTTGGTTCGGAAAACCTTTTCGGCTCCTTTCAGCGTCAGCCAAACTTATTTTAAACAACCTTTTAGCTATTTTAAAGACCAATTTTAGGAATAAACGAAATAATTTCGTCTCGTTTCGGCGCCATGTTCTCCGAACGAAATGAAATTGTTAATACTAAGACCGCACTAACTCAGCGTTAACGCTAATTATAAAATGGCTATCATGACAAGTAATTTTACGCGTTTAACATTATCTGTTAACGATTTAACATTAAACGACAGCATTTTATTTCCATAACATTTCCGGTTGTTTTAAACGAAACGATTGAAATTTGTGGGTTAAAGTGAAATTTATTGTTGCGATGCAGTCTTGGTACTCACAAGTAATCTGAAGCATTTCCATTTTCATTTAATATATTCTAAAGCGTATCAGCGAAGTAGGTGATACATATTTAAGAGTTTAAGTTTTCATGTTTATATGTATAAATTTGCGATACTAATTTATTTGAAATTTCATTGTGTTCACTTCATAAATACAATAACAAAAAACGATGGAAATGTTTGTCGATGATTGTGAATTGTGATTTGTGTGGCACGCTTGTAGGCTTAACGCTTCAGTCTCAAATGTTGCCTTGATATCAAATAGGAAATGAATTGCAAAATGTCTTTGGTAAGTGTACGTATGTATATCTGAGTATATATATATATGTATGTACATATGTATGTTTGTATAAATGTATGCTGACAACTTAACACAATTATTTTGAAATATTTGCAATTGAACAAAAATTAAAGAACTTGATGTTTGAAGGTTTCACTGTTAATCAGCGACAAATGTGTATTCGAGGTCATACACAAAATTTTGAACATGCATGTGTGTATGGGTGTATGCATGTTCACATATACACATGTATGTTTATATGCATTTCAAAGCGTTCGCATGTGCGAATATTTAAATTATAATAACAAAAAAAGTTCAAAAATATCACAAGTAAAAGTAAATATTACCAAAGTCACAAATTTATACAATATGTTGTACTCACATATATACATACATGCTTAAACAAAAGTGCATACATACACACATATATATATATATATTTTTTTTATATGCTTATTATGGCTTACATCTATGCGTATTGAAGGCAAGCACTTGTTTTTAAATACATAATTATATACGAACATATGTATGTGTATACAATACAATTGGCTAGATGCAAGTATATGTTTAAAATGTAAAAAAAAAAATGCTCACGAGACAGTGCGAAAGTGGTAAGCGTGCATAATGTCGCCTCTTTTGGCAGGTGATTACCTGTTGATCAGGTGGCCTTCAAACATATCGAATCAAATATAGCAAAACGCAGATATGTGAGCCATCATGCAAATGTGTGGATGTCCATTGTACATATACTAGTATGTATGTAATTACCCGTGAGCAATAAAATATGAAAAGAAATTGGAATATATCTACAGAAATTTTTGATTAGCTTTACACCTACACATCCGCATACAGCGTGGGATATCTCTTCTGAAATCAAAAGTGCCTCACCATTCATCCCATCGAAATATGTACATATTGAACATACATAAATATGTATATTGATTGTGTCTTCATACAAAACATGTCAACATAAAATTATTACATTATTGATTGTCCCACTAATAGAAGATACGTATATTCTTATGTATGTATGTATGTAAGTATATTACATATATGTTGTTGACTATTCGCAATAAGAAGGGTAAATCGAAATAATTAAGCGCACACGATTGACCACCGTAGCTGACAACAGAGTAGCAATATGCTTAGGTCATGTGCTCGGACCCCGAACGGCTATCGTCTAAGCTTATTTTTCTAACTGGTGCCACCGTTAGAACCCCTGAGTGTACTTTTGCATTCAAATGAGAACTTATCATAAAATTCCGTAAGCCACTTGGAAGCGACCTAAAGCTGTGCGCCTGTCATTTGTAGACAACCCGCCAAAACAAACCAAAGCAGAAAAGCACGGCCGAAAATTGTGTAAACGCGTTTAACAAGCGAAAATTATACAAGTGTCTTAAGGAATATAGTGTGTGTGTAAGAAAGTACTTAACTCATGAAAGCCAAGAAGAAAATGTTCAACGGTAATCTCTCTACACTTTTTTTGCTCAAACATTTTCAAATCCAATTATTACCTTGAAGCAACTAAGTCTGCTGGCATATGCAGATGTATGGCTGTATATTATGTACAAAGTTGTCGTAAAGAAAATCATCGACATACATACATATACTCGTACTACAAGGTGGCTGAATTAATGATTATTTAGTTAAATTTTTATAATTATCTATAACTGGTATATATATCAGTATATACATATGTATCATACATAGAAATTGTTACTTTATATGTATAATTAAAAGGACCTCCTGTCAAAAGCATTTCAATTTTTTTTTTCAACACTAATTGTCCTTTTCATCTATGTAGCCCTATGTATGCCCTATGATGCATACGTTGACAATCAGTTGGTTAAGAATCAAGGAATAAATTTCAACCGTATTTGTGTCGAGATATTTGAAAATATGTACCATAATTATAAGATCATTTGATAAAATGCAAGCCGACTAAATGTGCAATCCTTTGAAAAATATCGAACATCTTGATTTTCGATCTATTTTAGGCTTTGCACTGGTTTTAAATTAAATATCGCTTAGTAAAGAAGCTTTAAACATACGAGTCATCCTATATAAATAAATGCTATGTATGCAGCTGATTACGCAGTTCCTTACGTTAGAGGAATGTACAAATTGATCACGTTCTTGTCAAAGAGAAGTCTAACGCTAAGCGTAAACAAGCAAAAGTGATGAAACTATACGCTTATGTGAATGTTTGGATACCACGCAATCACAAAAGCATTTCTTTCGCAACTGTGTTTACTGTATGGATCAGAGAAAGCATATGTATATGTATACATACATACACGTATGTAGATAAGAACATATTAAAATTTTGTAATTGTGGGTACTTAATATTATTTAATGCTAATATTTCAAAGAGTAAATTTGTCGTTACGATGCAGCCTTGCAACATTGTGAATAAGCTCAGATCAGAAGAGTGTGTTTGACTTACTTCGAGGCATTCATATTGAATTCCACGTGAAAGACTTTGAGTAGCGAATAATCGAGATACATCGAGAGTGCTCAAAAAATGTGGGTAGATAAATAATATAATAATAAATTAAAATTTCGTGTGAGATTTGTATGAGTTAGGGCTTTTTAGTATTATACAAAGTATATTTATCATGACATCAACATTTTTGGATTTCTATTGTAATTGGTTGCTTCACCTATTAAGCTCTGAAAATGATTTTAAATATAATCAAATAACAATAAAAAATAATTTTTTAATACAAGTATAATTTACTTCAGAGTTTTATATTGCTTTTAACGAGTTTGAAAATATGAAAAATATCCAAGCGAATTTTTTTATATTGGTGACAGCATAATCAGGTGAGAACAGTTACTCTTTAATTTGGCACATTACTTAATAAATTATACTATTATATTAAAAAAATAGATATTTATAATATTAGGCTACTATGCAAATTTTTAATTATATGTACACGTATTTAGACATTTATTAGGAATACACAACAACGTTTTACGTATTTAATGATGCAAAAGGTACTAAATTTTAAGCAGAAATAGATAAAATCCATAGTTAGGAAGGGTCGAATCGCGAAAAAACCTACCGTCATTATTCACGAAATTTACTGCGCTGCTACATTGCAGTTTAATGAAGATAATCGCATGAAAAGCAAAAGTGCACCGAAGAGCAAGTGCACGTGCTTCAAAATTACGAAACGAACATCGAGCCCGCCGTCACATCATACACAATCAACGGTCGTGTTTACACCGCTTCCCTCCGAAATCGGAAGTAGCGAGCGATCACCTTGCGCCGAGAATGTTTAAGTGCGTTAAGTCTCACGAATAAATTAATTCAGCAGGTTTAAAAAAAATCAACAAAAAGATGCTCAATACATATTTAAAAACAAAATGCAAAATAAAAGACATTTCTCATTTCAATGAGTTGCCATTTTTGCCTTTTCATTAATAACAAGTTTAACGCTGCGCTGTTTGGCGCTCATTTTAACGCACTACATAACTGTTACAACGAACGATATAATCATATCAACGCCTATGTGTACTCGTTTAAGCAGGTAAGTTGGTACGTGTGACATGCATGTATGTGTATATCCCCAACATCCCCAACGACTCTGCGGCTACTGCGATAGCATGCACTGCTGCAGCGCGACGTGGGGACAGCAGAAGGCGAAGGAGGCCGACAACTCGATCGACAGCGTGCAATACAAATTTGCTGTTTGTTACACAGGCTGAGCTTCCTACAGCAACAGCCACATACATACATGTAAGCACATACAGACGTACATATGTGGCGACGGTGGCGACGACGCTCAACGTGGTTGCGTAGCAGCGCTGAACAATCGTAAGCAGAGGGTATTTAACCGACCCCAAATCAATTTGCAATTTCAGTCTAAAATCGCGTTGCAGCGTTGCATGAACTCTCTAAACAAACGGAATAATTTAATTGCCAATTTCACACAACAAGCGATCGCACCAAAAACATTTGAACTTGAATTTATAAAAACACAAAAAAAGAATAAAAAAATAAAAATAAAACCAAATTAATATCCAAAAAGATTCTTGAACTTAATTATATATGATTATTTGTGTGTACTGAAATAACATATGTACTAACATATAAATATCCGTAATTGCGAAACGGACCGTGGAAACTTAGCAAGCGTGTGTGCGTATACATATATACTCATCGTCTTGGTTGAAGTGTTGCGATAAATCGTGCTGAGACTAAAATACCGTCAATCAAATAGTAACACGCGACTCGAATTGTGAAGACGAGCCGGCTCAGCAGGCCGAAATAAAAACAGCAAATGACCACAGCAACAAGAAATAAAAAGTAAACAAACGAAATTGAAAACTATTTATTGTATCTGCTGCAGCAGTGGAGTGTTTTGCCTTTAGTACTCGCACCGTAATCGCGAATCGATTATCTAATAACAGCAAGTGGGTGCACGCTAATGTATGACCTAGAAAAGTGACTGTCGTGTTGAGAGTACAGTGGCAAAGTGGGTGATAATACGTAAATGGTTCAAAAAGAAATGTGTAAAAACTTTTCAGTCCGGGCACGTTCATTAAGCAAAGTCGTGTTGGCGTTCACCTGAACCTATTTACAACAGTACATTAATAAAACAATTTTTGCAGTTTGCAATTCATGAACATTTTTGATTGACCTAAAAACGCTGTTGAAATCGCTTCTTTTTATATCCCTGTGTTGTTTATCATCCCTGAGACTTTACACAACGACCGCATGGAGATTAACTGATTTGCGTTAATCTTGAATGGAAGGGAAAAGGATTGTGCACGGTATGAGCTAGAAAATATCTTGCAACTCAGAAGGAAATAAACTAATAATCGCTTCAGTTAAATAGCAGAAGCTTTGGTGGAGTGCAAGGCTTTACGGATTGAAACAGGAGCCCCCTTACCACTTGGGACGCAAAACCTAGCCAGCCGCCATTAGTGTAGAAGATCCAAAAAGGAAATACAAAAAAACTACAAAATAAAACAAATTCATAATAATTTGTAGTCACTAATTTCAAATAAGAGAAGATGAGTGAAAATTCCCGTAGCCTCATAGAAAGTAATGTAATTTTGGCCGATGACGTCGTCAGTCCCGAACTGGACGAAAGTTCTGGTTTTAGACAAGAAGTGTGTATGGCGAATCAGATCAATAGAGGGCGAGCAAGTGGCGGTCATACATTTGTGGTGACAACAGTAATCACTGAAAATGTAACCAGCACGGAAAGTCAAAAAACTTGCTCAAAAAAAGTTGAGGTTAATGAAAACACGATGGACAATGACACATCGCTGCCAAAGGAAGCGTTGGCCAACGATTCAATGCCAACTACTTCTTCGAACTCAAACTCATTAAATCAAGAAGAATTGTCCAAGGCGATTGTTCCTATATCTTCATCCTTGCCATCCAAATTGTTGCGTTTTCACGCCAAACGTTCGGCCGAAGCTTTGTTGCGTCGAATTGGACAATCCAAGTCATTGGACTCTCAATTCGGCAGTGATGAGGGCGCTGTCGGTGGCCGCGAAGACGAGACAAACCGCAGTCCAGATATCTTTGATATTCCAATACCTCTGAATTCGGCACATTCTCCCCCACCGCCTAGGACCACACCAGTGGGTTGTGACGAGGATAAGTTAATTGACGTTGGTATGGGTTCCTCCATTGAAGATTCGGAAGAATCTGAGGAAGATGATGAACTAAAACCGCTAGCTGTGGACAATCATGTGTTGCATGACGTCGTTTTGAGTCCCTCCTCTGCCGAATGTGAAATGTCTTCATTTGAGGTAGGTATTAGCGGAAGTCCATCTGTCGCCACAGCTGTTTTAAGTGAAGAAAACTTAGAAAAATTCCATAGGCATCATAGTCCACATAAAACCCACCAAAATGATTATTATCGTCAAATGGATAATATTTATTTACATCCGAACTTTAAACTGGATTCTGATAGTGTCAGCCCAGATATTCTAGAAACTTCACCTCCCCCCGCTGTTGCACCAGCTAATTCACCAACGGAACCGAGGCGTGTTCACCGCTCTTTTTTGACAATGAAGAAACCTTCGATTCCGGAAACTTTGGATTTGGAGAAAAACACCGATACAACCATAGAAATAGCTTCTACTTCAAATGAAAAGGAAAATAGAGGCGAGTCGATGGTAGAACATGCGCTCCCAAATGAAATTGATTCATTAGATCCAGCAATGATACCAAGTGAAGAATTAGCCGCCGAAATCGCCGATGCTGTAGAATTTTACTTTTCAAATGAAAGCATACTCAAGGATGCGTTTTTACTCAAGCATGTACGTCGTAACAAGGAAGGCTTTGTAAGTCTCAAGTTGGTTTCTAGCTTTAAGCGTGTCCGACAATTGACCAAAGAATGGAAAGTTGTTGGAGACGCGGTGCGAAGAAAGTCCCAAAAAATCGAACTCAATGATTTGGGTACAAAAGTGCGCCGCATTGATCCATTACCGAATTTCGATGAAACAATGCCTTCTCGCACTGTTGTTGCCTGTGATTTACCTCTTGAAAAGCTTACAATCGAAAAAGTTTCTGAAATATTTTCTAAATGTGGCGAAATCGCATTAATACGTATACTGAAACCCGGTATGGCGATCCCAGTGGATGTCAGACAGTTTATGAACAAATATCCTGAGGTGCAACAAAAGGAGTGCGCCCTTGTTGAGTATTTGGAGTCTTCGTCGGCCCGGGAAGCCAAGAACTTACAGGGACCATTTCAGGTCTTCGAAATGGTGGCGCCCAAGAAGAAGACAGGCAAAAAGGCTATCATACAAGTGGCTACACCAGTAGCACGAATGGTCGAAAATTACCGATACTATAATGATGCCACTTACGAACGTACACGTGGCGGCAGCTTCAGCGGTATTATCCCGCAAGATGTGACAGATTTGCGTCACAAAATAAAACGTTTCAATTCGGACATTCATGCCAAGCCAATGCCAGAACTTCATCATAACAATCACAATGCTCCACATTACCACCATCCACCGCACAATGCCTATGGTTCACAACATCGCGGCAGCTTCGTTAGTGAGCACTCGCACCAATTCCAAGCTTATCATCCACGTTTAGCCGGCAATAGCGAATCGGCATCACCAAGCATTGCTATGCCTAGCGACAACAGTAATGCCGGCAATTATTTTTACGCTTACTCACCACGTCGCTATAGCAACAACTCAACTATCTCTGCCAGCTCGGCAGCTGTCGTCGATGCATCTGTAAATACTACGCCAATGAATAGTAATAACACCAACAAAAATAATATAAACAACTCAAACAGTAACCTGGTGCGACGCTTATCGAATGCTTCCGACAACTATTCGAGTTTTTCAGATTCACGCCGTCCATCGAACTGCTCAGAAAATATGTCTCAACGACGAGACTCCAATTGTTCAGAAAATTGCCCATGCTCGAGACGCATTTCCGACTTTGGACAAACGGAGGTTTACCGAAAAATTTCTCAAACTTCTACTGGCAGCGGCGGAGAACGCCGTTTCTCCAATGGTTCAATGCAATTTGAACGCACCTTCTCCAATCCGAACGAATTGAACAACCATGGAGGTAGCAGCTTTCCACGCCGAATGTCTAGTGACTACAACTTTGAGCAGCGCAAACAGTCAGTGGACGCACAAAATGAAATACCATATGATGATCCCAATGTGGGTGGGGGTGGCGGTGGTTATAACGTGTTCCCACGTCGCTACTCTAATAACTTCAATGTGGCTAACAAAATGGCGGCATATGATAATGCGCAATATATCAACGGACGTCGTATATCTACCGACTCTGGTTATGATCGTCGTTATTCATTCGGTTCTGAATATGAGGGCTCTCCACGGTCACGCACAGGAAGTTTCTTAAATAATTACAAGCACGGCGTTGATTTCGACGGGCAACCACGCTCGCGAACTGGTAGCTTCTTGGATAACTCACCTCGTTCTCGTTCCGGTTCATTTGCGCAAAGAAACTCCGAAAACTTAGTACGTACGCCGATGGGCCCAGATGGGAGCAAGGGCTTCGCTGGTCGCGCTAGAAAATTTGGACAGACAATCTCACCTGTAAATTAAGTGCCAGCAAATGCATGTATGATTAATTAGGGCTGAATTGCTTACATGTACCTATGTATATGTATAAAACGTATGCTATCCTTAAATGTGCCGTAAAAAATATATTTATAAATAGTTTAATATATGATTTCAATTTATGTTCTATCAAAGGCTTATATGTACATACATATGTATACAATAGTATAATATGTCTATAGTATGGACGGTTCAGCAGCCTGTTTATGGGAGTATTTATTTACATCGATATAGATGTATGTATGTATAATTTCATATTAATATGTTTGTACATATGTAAATATATAGTCATGTACATATGTGCGCATAGCTAGGTATTTATTAATGATACCAAATTGAAAATACGTACACGTACATAGATAAAAACATACAAATAATACTGTTAATTCCGTATAAATTTATTTTGCGATTTTTTATGTTTGGGATCAAGTTCAGATAACTCACCAACAGAGAATGAAAATATTTTAATTTTTAGCTTTTTAGCCGAGCACAATTGTATTGCTAACCCCAGTGATGACAGTTAATACAGTGTTTCAATGTGCAAATGTTCTGAAATTTTCGGGATTATGTATAAAATCTAAGCCAGGGAGATGAAAATGAAAAAACATGGAGAATATTTGCCGGTTTGGTGATTTGCTCTGATAAGGTTTTGGTCAGCTGTGTCCATAGATTTGTAGTTAGACATAGCCGTAGGAGAGCTCACGCTCATATTTTTGTTAATGAACTCCTAATTTTTACTACTCAAGTGATTGTAAAACGGATTTTTTAATAATCTGCCTCATTTTTCTTTAATATAAGTAAAAATATATGATGTTTTCTAAACTTGTTTTTTTATTGATATGTACGTTCTTGAGGTAAGTACAATTTACATACACGTATATATAAATTTATATGTATATAAATTAACACATATACATATTGTATGTATATACATACGTGTATGTGCACAATTAGGAAGAGTTCACTGTTTCAATTTGTGACTAAAAACGAAATATTTTCGTAACTTTACATGAAGAAAACGATGTCAACATTATTATTCAATTTTCTACCAATACCAATAAAATATCATTTATTTGTTGTTATTAATTTTTTTAAATTTTATTTCAATCGCGTTGGAGAGTAACTCAGCACATTAATTACAATACAATACTGTTGTTGTTGTTGTTGCTGTAATCACAAAAATATTCTTTTGCGGCAGTGACAGTCCTTGGCCGGATAAAAATCCGGGTCGTTCCGGGAGATCGCATACCGCGGGTAAATTCCTGAACCCTTAACCCGCAGGGGTTAGGATACGTTACTATTTCACCACCGTGTGCTTAATTGTTTAATAAATAATCTTTTTGTTGTAAATTATTGTTAATATTGATTTTTGATATTTGAAAAAATGACGCAACATTACCAAAAATCAGAAAACAAGTGAAGATTTCACAAAAACTTGTGAAGAGTGATCCTCACTTTCATTTCGAGTTGAACTATTGGTTAAGAAATAGAGAAATGCTAACAAATTTGTTAATATTGATATTTATAATAATTGCTGCTCTATATATAACTATTATATATATATATATATATATATAAATATATATAAATATATATATGTATAATTGGCGCTTGGTAACTGCTGACGCGATTCTAGGCCGAGCTCCTAATCAAATTTGTGGTTTTGCGTCTTGATGTTTTCCAACAAATGGAGGGACCTACAGTTTATACTAAGCCGCCTCTGAACGGCTGATGGTTTTTTATGAGGTGCCTTTATTTCATGTCCGAAGTATACTCGGAGGGGTGGATATTCCCTGCCGAGGGTTGACCGCAATTAGAAAATTTAACTTAATTTTTTATATAAATTAATTTTCTACAACTTTTGGATGTTGGTCATACCAGGTTTTGAATCCAGGACTTCCGAAAGGTAGTAGACAAAGCTACCACGCGGTTACCGCGGCAATGGAGTTCATTGGATGCACTCGAATATAATTTTTATTTATGTGCTTACAATATTATGCAAAGATTAGTCGCTACTCAAAGTGTTCCACAAAAATGCCACTACTTTAACAGCATCGTCAACATCAAAAGATCGCATAGCGATCTACGAACGATCGTAGACAAAAAGAATTGTAGAATTCTATATGTAATATACACAAAAACCCACTAACGAAAAAAAATTTAAATTAAACCGAACTAAAAATAAGATTTTATAGTATAGATAGCTCCCAAGTTCACTTCCAGGAAGTAACAATGTCCCTGCGTCAACTTAGACAAAAGGCTACCTTCTCTCGGCAGCTGTGAACCATTGCTGAGCCAAAGCGGTCCAGCCATTTTCTATTGATCAATTATTTGCATTCAATTTAACTAAATTTTTCTTAAAGGTGGCTTTTAATAAAATCTAAAGTTCATAGATTGTGATGAAGCTATCCTGAACATATGTACAAAATGACTTAGCCGATTTTCAGATATGTTTGAGGCTATTAACAGTTTATTCTAAGCCAGTACCACCTAATTGCCTATAAATTTTTACGTTTCTACGAAGTAATTTTTATTTCCTGTTAGAAATATTCACAGAGGCATTCCCTGCCGAGGACTACCGAAATTAAAAGCAATAACTTGGAAGAAGAATAGTAATCTGTATACATACATATATGAAATGCCTACACTACACTCAGGATAAATCCTCCAAGTTTCAGATCTCTGCGATCCACGGTTTATCCATTAGACATTCAGGGCAAAGAATTTTAAATATATAGAATTTTTTCAATCATTATATATCGGAAAAATGAAGAAAATATTAAGCAATTTTTTTCTAGAAAATTAACTGATATTCAATTTTTATCTAAAACTAAATTTACGACACATTCACGATAAATCCGTTTAAAATTTATCCATAACTCGCATCGATAATGGCTGCTTTAGGACGGAAGTTTAAAAAGTGACTCGAAAAACCAAGGATACAAGTTGCTTCCAACGCATTTTCTATCTTGAAAGCGTTCTTGTATTAAAATTTGCAAATAAATTACAAAAATTGATTGAAGGTAAAGAATTCTTTATTTTCTTAATTTTGAAATTGAATTGGCAAGTAAAGCTTCGATTTTTTTTAACTTAATTTTGTAAAACTTTTAGTCGATTTTTTACAGTAAATCGCAATAGAATTACTGAACATGGCAAAGTTTAAGCAACTAACGAATGAGGAGCGTTCAGCCACAATCAACTTGCATAAATATGGTCATACACAGCGTTACATCGCAAAAAGATTTAATAAAAGCCAGCTCGTAATATGCAAAGTTATTACTGGCTAAAACAAAGGCAATCGAGTCATCAAGAAGAAGCGACAAGGACGCGCAAAAATAACAACGGGGAGAGTTTATAAACGATTCTCGGCAGAGCTCCTTCTCCAATTTTTGGTTTCACGTCTTGATATTTTTCCAACAATTGATGGGACCTACAGTTTATATTAAGCTGCCTCCAAACGGCTGATAGCTTTTTTTATGAGGAGCTTTATATCATGTCAGAAATACGCTCGGAGGGGTTGACATTCCCTGACGAGGGGCGACCGCAATTAAAAAAGTTTTTTTTTATATAAATAAGCTTTCTATCACTTTTCGATGTTGGTCGCAAGGGTATTTGAGCACGAGCCTTTCGAATGGCGGTACGCAATGCTAACCCCTCGTATACTGCGGCTGCTATCTACTCCGCTGAATAAAAGTCTCGCCACAATCCGCATAAAAATGAAATTTTTCAACACCAGGCGGGTTTGCGCCCATGCTTCGATGGGACAGAAGGACAATGTGACCAAAGCTGCCTTTTATGAGCGCTGCCCCCACCATGCCAAAACTGTGCTTGGGTGGGCATAAAAGGTATTTTCGACACTACAGTCGGAAAATCTGCAAATCGTGCTGATCGACTTCGCCGTGATTCGAAATATAGTTGTATGTAGTATTAGATTCCAGCGCAAGTAAATTCACCAAACTACCAGGCTATCTCCAGAGTAAAAAACTCACAGCCATATTCATCATATTGTAGTTAGGGATTGGCTGAATGGTTTTACACACGACCTCCTTTCTGAGCGCACTCAAACTCTTTAAGAACCGTCGCTACGGGAATTGGTTTTCAACAGCGCCATGTCGAAATGGAGTAGAGAAAACAGCCCTAGATAGCAACACGTGCGGGGCGAGACATATACCGAGAGCTGAAGAGGGAAGCAAGACGCATTTTCAGGGAAAAAAAGAAAGAGGCTGAAGTGCGTGACTATGAAAAGCTCGAGAAGCTGGCCGACAAGGACTCGTAAACTCTACGAAAAGATACGGCGACTTTTGTCCGATTAACAAATAGCAAAGCGGCTGAAACTGACGGAATGTCGGCGAAGTGCCGTCAAGGTGCATGTATCAGATTCTTTGCAAAATATGATCGAATGAAAGCATGCCCGACGACCAGAGGGTTCTTTCCCACAAACCATCTAGTTACTTTCGTTTGGTACAAAAAAATTACTTGTACCTTGAAATTTGATTTTTGAATTAATCTTCAAAATCGACATATATCTCCCCAATATACCCCGATTGGTGCCTAAGCCTCCTTAATATCGCATATAAGGCCCTATAGAACGTATTGTGTGAAGGAATGAGGCCCACCGTCAACAAACTGATTGGTCCTTATGAGTGTGGCTTCAGTCCTCGTAAGTCAACCATTGACCAGATGTTCACCATGCGCCAAATCTTGGGAAAGACCACTGAAAAGAGGACCGTCACACACAAACTCTTCGTTGCATAGCGAAGCTATGTTTGAATTTGGTATCCCCGCAAAACTTATACTGTGTAAGCTGACGCAAGAAAACACACCAGAAGCGCAGTCAGACAAATACTGGCGTATTTAGATGATGTTGATATCTCCAGACGAACAGGTCTGGTAGTAAACGAGGGCAAGACGAAATATCTCCTGTCATCAAATAAACAGTTACCGGCACTGTCGGCAGTCAATTCGTCTATCTAGGGAACAGCATCAACTATAATAATAATGTCAGCTTTGAAGTGCAACACAAAATCACTCTTGCCAGCGTGTGCTACTTTGGACTAAGTAGGCAATTGAAAAGTTAAGTCCTCTCCCGAAGAACGGAAACCAAA